ATTATTATAGGTCAATAGTTGTTCCTATTTGTTGTTATACAGTTAGATCAATTAGGTTCTTTAGATACACAGAGATTGTATTCTGTCTAGATAGGGAATCTTCAACCACTTCAAAGATCTGTGGAATATGGCATTTAAATAACTTAGGATTCTGTTGATATGAGACACGATTGCTTATGACAGCACCAATCTATTCCTGAGAGAATGTTGAGCACCAAAGACACTCCACTTGGAGCTTGTTTTCTTCTTGGCAATACTGGCCTTTGGGCAAGGAACTGACAATGCCTCAACCACTGACAAGTTACATAGTATCCGGAAATGGATAAGCAGGGCTGTCAAATCTTGCCAAGACAGGGTAAAATGGTTTTGAAAAATTTCCTGCCTCTGAAAATGGTCTGTCAGTTGCATTAGGCCTTAGCCAAAGTTGGTTGCTTCATTGTTGCAAAATGAGACTTTGGGTAATTGCTCAGGTAGCTAATTGTCTCTGTCATATATTGCTCTCTTTGGAAGCTACTTGATTGTACTTCCTGCCTGCCCAAGTAATATTATCTCCCTTCTCAGTACTTTGATTGGGTTGAAGATTAGATAGTAGTAGTTACTGTACTCTTATGATCTAGTCAAGCCATTTCCTATACAAGACTTAGACTCCATAGGATTGAATCTTTATTAAAACATTTAGCATATGTTCCTTGCTTAATATTGTTTATGCTGATTGCAATTCTAATCTTATACTTGATATCTGTTCCTAGTGTATATTGTTTTGTATTGGGTTTGTAACTCTCTTACTTAAACAAAAGGGGGAGGTGCTGCGGGAGCTCCTTCCGCTCCTTCAGCCAATAGCCTTTAAGATACCAGCCCACTGGGGTGTGGTCTCTTATACTTTAAAAAGCAGTAGGAACCGGCAATCTTTCTCTTGCTTCTGGCTCCCTTTCTGGCAGCTAGACTCTCTGTTTCCTGTTTGCGATGAGGACTGTTGTTTGGGATGGTGATCTGTAAGTTTTTCCCTTTAAATAAAGAAGCCCCTTTATTATCCATAATTCTTAACTGGTGTGGGGTTATTCTGAGGCTTCAACACTGTTGTCAAGTATCTGGCTGTCATGGGCTATCACAAAGACAGAGGGTATGCACAGCAAACTGTGTAAGAGACCCAGTGTGAACAGCTTCCACCACGAGTATCTTAGAAACAGGCTACACGGCAACTGTAATTAATCTATTTTCTGATCTTTCAGGTTGGAATTGTACTCAGCGGTTATGAGATGTCTCAACCGGACACTCTCAGCTGCATGATCTGAACAGGTGGAAACAGCAGCAGAAAGATGGTTTGTTTTGACTAAGAGCAGGGAACTTGGGAGCCTGAATTACTAGATGGAAGGAAGGGTGATAAAGGGAAGCGATCACGTGGTAACCACACGCCCAGATGCACCTAGAATCAAAAGGTCCATTAGTTTGGCCATAATGAGGATTTCCAAGGAAGCAGGTGACAAATTCTGAACTGGGCTCCCAAAAGGTGAAGGCAGTGTGTAGAAAGCATAAAGGAGGGAAAGGTTTTTCCTCCCCAGTCAGGGGAAACAATCCACAGAGTCCTAATGAAGAAAAGTGAGATTGGTGGCAACTGGAACCAGGCAAAGCAGGCAGACACCAGGGACAGTGCCAAAAGAATAGCAAGACAGCTTGGCAATGATTTGCTGGGGTGGCGGTATTGGTAGAAAAAGGGAGGAGCGAAGCACAGGACTGAGAAAATGACGTGAGAGCAGGAAGGTGGCGTGTTATGGGGGTGTAGGGGTGGGCCTTTGGGAGAATTGGGGAAACTGATGTTTATAGACATTAAAAATTTGAATTAACAATGGGAAACCAAGCAAGGCATTCTAAGCAAGTTTCAATTATGCTTGTAGAGACAAGGTAAGAGGTTAAGGCCAGAAATACAGTTTTATGAATAACATCCAAACAGGTTATTGCTGAAGCCAGCAAGAGGTGTGAGTTACTATCAAGAAAATGGGGTACTATATTAAAATACTTTAGGAGGCTCAGCAGGCAAGACTGTCTCATTGACCGAATAAAATTTAAAAGAAGTTTATTTAGGGCAAACAGCTCAGAAACACATGCAGTTAGGCCAAGCTTATGATATTAGCTCTATTTAAATGATATTAAAGAGGAAAGCTATATATCCTGAGACATGCACCTAACAGGAAGGTATACAAAGATTGGAAATGAAAAAAGGAAGACATGGAAGCTTTCATTACCAGGAAAGTATGAACTGAGAGAAGCTGATGTAATTGTATTAATGCCAGATGAGCTGAAATACAAGGCAGAGACATTGTTAGGAATGAATAAAGCTGTTGAAGAACGGCAGACAATGATTCACTAGGACATACAGCCAATTGTAAAGTCTTATGAGCCCAGGGACATAATCTCAGAACACATAAAGGAAAAATTTGACAGAATTTCAAGGAGAAATGGATGCAGTCTCCCCTGGTAGAAGATTTTAAATTCTCTTAAAAATGACACAAAGGAAAAATAACAAAGCTTCACATGGTGTGGCTTCAATGGGCAAAAACTACGAGAGAGGATGCAGAAGTTTGAGGATGAGAGGAAAACGGTGCCACTGAGGGACTGGCAAAGAGGGAATAGGTGGACCCCCCAGGCAGAGTAACAAAGAAGGTTGTTGTTGAAAAGAAAAAGCAAGCACCCTTCCTAGGGCAAGACCACAGAGGAAGTATGGAGAGGGGGGTATGAGGCCCACGTTAAGTTGAACCCTCTTAGAATACCCTTTCCTCTGATACCAGAGAAAAAGGAAGAAACCTAGATCAGGATATTTTGTGATGGGGGAAGCAAGTGGACAAGTGTATGGGCTTTGACTTCTCTCAAAGGCAGCCTCTGTTGAATACGAGGGGAGGAGTCATCAATCCATTTGCTGTTTCCATCTGGTAGTGTTCATGCGTGCAGATTTGGCAATACAACTTTAAAATTCACGTGTGAATAGAGGGGAAAATGCTTGACCAGCCCGAAGACTGCTGATTTCTTGGAGGTACGATGTGGCAGGCTTTGCATAAGCAGAGGAGAAATGAATTTTAAAAACTTTATGAAGCTAGTAGAATGCACAGGGCTGCTTCCCCTGCCGGAAACATTGACAGAGTCATCTAAATATGTATTTCTAGTGATGTTGTTTACTGTGTGAGCTAACTGGCTGTGGTCAGGGGAATGATGCTACATTAGCCATAGAACTTGGAGCTTTAGTTGAATTAGTTAGATTTGCTGTAGACAATTATATCTCATAGAGCTTGGAAAGGAAATCAAAGAACAGCTAAAGTGTAAAACGGAAGAGGGATTTCACCTTACAGTGTCCTGTTTATTCTGTATGCGGTGTGCTACAGTCTGGTGAGTGCTGATCAGTTTACACCAAGACTCTCCCAACTGGCTCTCTTAGATTGTATGTGGGTGCCTTACCTCTAAGGGAGGTGATACCCCAATTTGCTCTTCTGCTTCCCCCAAAAGAGAAACGACTACCTTGTGTTTCCCTCATTTGTAAAGCATCGAGTACTGTCCACACTGTCCCTCAGAAATGGAAATCATTTAAATTAAGTACAACCTTATCAGCCCTTATCATGTCTGCCCTGGAAATGCACGCAACCTCTTCCTCAGGGTTCATGACGAAATGATAATTATCTAGCAGAATTATATAGGATCGTCTTATAAAACACTCTGGCAAGTTCATCCAATATCATTTAGTTTTATAACCTCTAACGGCTCCTAGAATTTTTGCTGGAATTGCCTTTCTTGGAGATTTCAAGGCTACTCAGAAGTCTAGTCATGGTGAGAGTTCATCATTAGCTTTGGCCTCAGCATCTAAACACAATCAGAACTCAAAAGAAAATCCTCCCAAGTCTCACAGAAGGAATAAGCATGACAGTCTCATGGCCAGGGACTCTAATGGCTTTGTTTGGCCTCTTTCTACCAGCTGTCAGGGTATGTATGTGGCCATAGAGATATTCAGAAATTAGAGATGTCTCCAGTTTCTCTGTTGTCATCCCAAGCCTGGAAGCTTATGTAAGCCTTGATTGACAGGGATGTGTGGATGTCTTCTGAAGGATGCCTTGTTTATTGAACCTGTTATTTCATTTAAATGTTTGGTTGCCTTCATCACCGTCTCAATTGGCCTTTGAGAATAGTTTGTTTCCTGAGAGCCTGACAGGAATCTCCCCAGAGTGGGCAATTCACTCTTGTCAGTCTGAATGAGACAATTGCTGAATAAAGATACTGACCATCACTGGTTTTGCTTCTCATTTTCTCATTGCTCAGCAAGTGAGCCTGAACTTCCTTAAGTGAAAGGAGAAGGTACCATTTGTTTCTCTTACTGGGAGAGTTGAAAAGATCTTCTGTGTTAATAGACAGGAAGACTCAACTTCCTGCCTGGCGTATATTAAAGGCTCCTTAGTGTTAGCTTCTGTTGTTTCTCTTCACCCTGCCAGAGTGTCTCTGCAGGTTACTCCACATCTGGAGTGCACTTCGGACTGATGTAAGAAACATTTGCGCAGCATCTAGATAACACTGCAGAAACTTTACACAGATGTTCCAGGGCTTCTACAGTACTCAATCCATTTTTCATCTGTACTACTGACCATATTAACTTGGATGCTATATCACTAAATCTGTGGTGACTAGAAACACCCAGTGTCTCTCAGTTTACAAGCGGAGTGGAACCCCCACCCCCACCCCACGAGAGACTCCACCGAACATTCCCAGAAGAAACCACTTTTATATTCTCCTTGGCTCATTTGGTTGAGTTATTCTGAAGTATTGGGGTGAACCCAAACCAGGAAAACTGTGGGAAACCTGGCTACACACATGTCATTCAAGCCAACACTAAAAAAAATTCATGAGTTCTGGGGCCAGTGGCACCTCTGGAGGATGGTGAAAGCAAAACCCGGAGGAGAAAGGGGCAAAGGATGGAAGCAAACATTTGGGAGCATGGAGAGTGCCCTGCCCCTACAAGGCTGACATACCAGTTCCTTCTTCTTCATGCATTCCATGAGGATGATGAAGAGGTGCTGAGCTTGGGTGCGAGTGTATGTGAAGGTCTTCTGTATTGTCACCAACAGCTGGTCCCTCAAGGATTCATTGATAAGTCTGCAACGAAAACCACGATCAGTCAGTTCAACACAACTCCTATTCTGTGTGTGTGTGTGTTATTGTAGTTTATCTTAATTTACACATTGTTCATAGTTGATAGGGTGATGTTTTAATATATTAGGGACTATGGAATAATAAAACCAAGGTATTGACCATATCCAGCACCTTATGTTTTTATCATTTTTTGCAGTGATAACACTCAAAGCCCTCCATTCTAGCTACTTCAAAATACTAGTATTCTTTACCATGGTCACCTTACAGTGCAGCTGGAACATTGTAGAACACAAGAGAACACTGAGGATTTATTTTTAATCAGAGTTACTTCTGCCTATGTTTTCCCAACAACAGCTCTTTTAATGTGTCAGTTTCCAAAGCAGTGCATTTAAAAAATAAATTCGTGTCTCAGAACCTCACAGGGTGAAGTAGAAAGTGGACTTAGTCATTTGCTGCCATTTGCCTTTTTCATAGTCACGTGTTTAATGACTGCTACCTCAAATTCTGTTATTAAAGATGACTTCAATTGCATTGTCTACATCTTGGAAAGGATTTGCTGTGTCATTTCCTCACAAACTGAAATGTTATAACTATTTATGGGGATAAAAATTACATCTCAGCAATGCATTTTTCAACATCGATGTAAGATGTGGACATTAGTAAAATGTTTATTGTACAAACGTGAAGACGGGAGTTTGATCCCCAGCACCTTGTAAAAGTCAGATGTGACATACACCTTGCAATCTCAGCACTGGGGAGGCATACACAGAAGAATCTCTGGGGTTCCTGGCTAGCTAACTACCATAATCAGCAAGTCCCAGGTCCCAATGTGAGACTGTCTAAAAACTGAAGGTGGGCGGCTCCTGAGAAGTAACACTCCAGGTTGACCTCTAGCTTCCACATATCCTGCCAGGATATATATATATATACACACAGACACATATATGTACATGCATTCCCCCACAGAAACAGGCAGAAACAGGCACCCCCAAGTGGAAATAAGAATTAGGTTACTACTTTAAGCTAAAGGGTTTTTAAACTTTAAAAAAGGTTTTACTTTTTTTTTCTAGTGAGCCAAAAGTTTGATTCATAGGAAGCAGCATTCCCAAAGCAAAGCACTGTTTACTTCAGCATGCCCAATCAATCAATGCACACTTAAGGCCTCAACTACTAGTTTTTAACTTCTCCCATCAGCCTGGAGAGAAAGGTATCTGTCCAAGTGACAAGGGTGTGAAAACATATTTTGCTATAAAAAGATAACTGTTCTAACTGTTCAAAATCGGGAGGATAGACACTCTTCTCTGGGACAGTAGTAATCATATTTTCTGCCTATCATTTGAACATTTTATATGGTACACATCACCTTCATTATTGAAGTATTAGCAACTCCTAGATAAGATAGAAAGAATATTATTTCATTTGATGCTGGCAGGAATCCTGTTGGCAAGAGGTTTGCTTAATTTTATGAGCATGGATTTTAGCCAGATGGAGTCGAAAACTTAGATCCGCACAGCCAACAAGCAATGACAGAGCAGGGTACTGCCCGATGCTCTTCTATGTCACCCACCGCCTCTCTGCAGCGTGGACCCCACACCATTACCCCCTTCAATGCTGTGGCCCTACAGCAGGCAGTTGTGAGAATTCCTTTCACAGAAAAGCAGGGCAAGAATCTTGAGAATGCCTTTCTATCAGTGACCTGCTGTGGCTTGGATATGCGAGGTTCCCATGAGCACAGAGAGCTGCTCATTGTGGTACCCTTACTTTGAAAAGAAGTGTGAGTCTAAGGATCCTGAACGTCCTTCATCTGAGGATCAGAAGGTAGGGTCACTTCACATTCACACCTTCCTGGGGAAGAATAGTGCCAAAGGATATACATGCTTAGAGAAAAGGAGGTGGGACAAGAAAGGCTACCCCAAATGTTCTCTCGATATTAAGTGATTCTGGTTGACTCCATGCTTCTTGGCTAGAAATCATCTGTCTGCCTGTCCATCCATCCATCCATCCATCCATCCATCCATCCACCCATCTGTCATTCACTCATTTAGAAAATTCATGTGGATGTCTACTTGGTGGTAGGCACTGTGGTATGCGTCAGGGATAGATGGATATATGGATGCAGTATGGTCACTCCCTGCCTCCAGTGGAGGAGAAAGACATCAATTAGACATTTAGCCACAACTGTCAGTGGTAGAGAAGTAAAAGAGCTGGTGAGAGGTGACCTGGGGAAAACCGAGGAGATGGAGCTTTCCCTGACACTTGCAGAAGAGTGAGCATTAGGAAGGGTTGGAACTGGTAAGGGTGGGAAAGGACAGACAGAATGGCATGGATAGGCCTGGTTTGGAGAAGGAAGAAGAGGGCAGAATGGCTGGAGCATGTGAGCACTGTAGTCTAGACACAAAAGAACCCCTAAAGTTCTCTTTGATAAAGGTGCAGCCTCAGCTTGATGCTAGCGGGAGGGGGTGGAAGTGGTTTGAATGACAACGTCCTTTACAGGATCAGATGTTGGAGCGCTTGGTCCCCAGTCAGTGGTATCTGTGTAGGTAGGTTTAGGGATTGCGGACTTGCCAGAGGAAGTAAGCTACTGGGGCTGGATTTTGAGGCGTCAAGGCCACATGCCACATGCTCTCTCTGCTTCCTGCTTGCGACTTAAGATGTGAACTTTCAGCTTCAGCTCCTGCTGCCATGTCTACTGTCTGCTGCCTTGTCCCTGCCATGACGGACTCTTAGCCATCTGGACTTGTAAGCCCCAAATAAACCCTGTCTTCTGGAAGTTGCCTTGGCCCTGGCACTTTATTGGAGCAACAGAAAAGTGACTGACTGATATGGAAGCGCCACCTAACTGAAGGGTTTGAGATGCTGAGACTGCGCCCTCAAAGGGATCCAGGCTGCTTCGCGTGTCCCAGTCACGTGGTTGGATGGTGTTGTTCTGCTCCCTGTTCCTGCTAAGATCTGTCACCACACCAATGGGCCAGATACATACATTCAGATTTGCGAAATTGTGACTCCCCAAGTTTTTCTGCTTCTATGAAGTGATTATTTCAGTTGTTACAATAACTAAAAACTATTGTGGGGAACAAATTTAAAAAGTAAGAAAAGATGAGGCTATAGCGAGGGTTAGCCAGGACAAGATCATGGGGGCCTTTGGAGACTATGTTAGAGTTTATTTAGTTTTTGACACACAGTCTTACTGTACACCCAGGCTAGCCTCAAATTCATAATTCTCCTGCTTTTACCTTCAAAGTGCTAGAATTGCGGACAAGTGCCACCATGTCTTGTGAGATCTGTGGCTTTGTCCCCACAGTGGTAAGAAGTGTTTCAGCAGGAGCAAGAGACCCATTTCTACTTGTGGTGCTAATTAACTCTCCTAAGACTCAGTCATACCTGGTCATATGTCTACTTGACAGGCAACCCAGGAGGGTAAGTCCAAAGAGTTCTGCAGCAGCAGAATTGTATAAGGTAGCACATGACTGACTACAGGAGGGATTCTTCTGATTTGCCACTTGATAGGTCCAATCATTCATTGGCAGGTGTTTAATTTTGATAACAGCTCGGAATTTGTTCTCTACTGCCAGCCATCTGTAATGAACTCTGAATTCCCTGAAGTCATTAACTGTTTGCGAGTGCTGTCTGTCACTTCCATCCAATCTGTCAGTTTGGGAATTAAAGAATGACGTATAATTGACTTAGTCACAGCTTTCAGAACTAGGCGAGCTTAAAGACTCGCCCAAGAGTTCTATAGTTTGGAGTCTCTGTTTCATATCTCTCCAAGGTGGTGGCTTCAGATCAATCACTTAGCAAGAAGAACCTTACAATGGATTGGAGCTGCAAAGTGGACAGGCTCATTGCTGGTAGAATAGAAAATATGCAGAAGAGAACCATCATGTATGGAAAGGACATGATGGGGGAAGCAAAGGAGACTTGGTCCATCTGAAGCATCGTGTTACATTTACTGAACTCCAGTTCTGCTTTGTTCCCCCGCCCCCCCCGCCACATCTTTCTGATTACATCAAAAGGAAAATATTCTTGGCATGCCTCTGCTGTTTTAAGTGTCCCATTGTTACCAGTCACTCCTCTTAACAGAGAAATAGCACATATAAAGCTCATACGCCTTTGGTTGAAGAGGTTTAATGACACTTCTTCTTTAAGAACAATCCCATATTATGCATTTCCTGTGTTCTTAGCACCTCCTGATTTACCAATCCATGGCAGAAATGGGAGAAGAGCCTTTGAGGCAGGCAGGTGGCCTATTTTGTAGGGGAAGAAACTGGGAAAGGTGCTGGAGTGATCTGTGATAAGTCACGTAGCCTGGTGATCTCAGACTGGGCTGAGTTTGTTCCTTTCACTCTTGTGCCATGGTTCCAGTTTTCCTGTCTTATATCTCCCTGTCATTTAGTTTCCTAGTCATGTGCATCATAGGGGGCAATATAAGCTCGATTAGTTATTAGGAAAATGCTTTCCCTTTATATATGCATGTGTATATATGTATATATGTATGTATGTATGTATGTATAATGAATGTATGTGCAGAGAGAGGCAAAGACAGACAGGCAGACAAATGGAGAGAGGAGAGAGACAGAATGAGAAAACGAGAATGTTGGGAGTGTTCTGACCGGCTTAGGGGAGAGGAGTCTAAGTGGGGTTTGGTAAATGAAGACACCAGACAGAGCACTCAGCAGCTTGAAGCTGTTGTCTACGTTAGACCCTCGTCTGTGATGCACTCTGTTTCCCTGTCTTATTTTGTGGATACCCATTTTCCTGTCTTTGAGAAGCCCGCTTTCTTGAAACTCTGATTTATTTTTAGTTCCTTCCATTTTTTTTTCTCCCACTCCACAGCCCTGGAGAGGAGAAATTGATAGCTTTTTTAAAATTTTTACCATGATATTCGAACATCAATGGATTTAGAGACAACCCCTTGTTAGGAGTTTTTTTATGGCACTAGAGTAGTGATTGAAAACGTCTTGACACCAAAACATGGTTGTAACATTCTGTGAAACTGTAGCTTT